CCGGCTGGTAAAAATGGAACAAATGGAACAGACCCCAGGAAGTGACAGAGGGATGGTACTGTGGGAGGGTAGGGTCCCAGAAACCTTGGTGCGCATGTCTGCTCTGAGGTTATGCTGAGGCTTAGAAGGGGAAATGCATATAAGAATATGAAATGTGCAGGTGCGGGGCTCCCGCCTGTAATCCCAGTGCTTTGGGAGGCCAAGGCGGGCGGATCAGGAGGTCAGGAAATCGAGACCATCCTGGCTACCATGGTGAAACCCCATCTCTACTAAAAATACAAAAAATTTGCCAGGTGTGGTGGCATGTGCCTATAGTCCCCCCTACTTGGGAGGCTGAGGCAGGAGAATCACTTGAACCTGGGAGGCAGAGGTTGCAGTGAGCCGAGATCATGCTACTGCATTCCAGCCTGGGCAACAGAAGAATATGAAATCCTGTCAGCCACAGAGGAAAGCCACTAATGATTTTGTGAAAGAGAAAGGGAAAAGGGTCAGGGGAGATGCTTTTAGCTCCTCTGTAAGCATCCCCGCACTCCTGCAAGCCATCCCTGTTTCCAGACCAGAGGTGGAAGAGAGGCCAACTTTGGCTGTCTCTATCAGGAAAGGGGTCAGGCTTGATGCTCCCTTTTCTATAGTTGGAAAACTTGATACAAAAGTAACACCCTGACAAGTTATAAGGATATGCAGAACTTTTCTCTTCCCAGGCAGGCTAGAGAAGGACTAAGAACAGAAGCCAGAAAGTCAATTATCAGCTTGTGGAATCTGGCCATCTTGAAAAAACTGGAGAAAAAACTCTTAATGCACTATAAAATTAAATCCATCTCTGATGCTCTGGCAAGCTGTCACTTAAAAAAATGACTTTTCCACTCTGAGAACTGGTTCTTTCTCACTGACTCTCTGCCCGGGAGGGGAACTTGCTGTCATGTAGGTTTCCAGGCCAGCTCTCCAGTTGTTTAGGGCAGTGAATCATGGAGAGGGGATTACCGGTGGCTGGAAATGGATTTAACCCTGATGAACAGCAAAGAGAGTCACGTTGAAGGCCAGGCCAGTCATTATCCATCAGAGGAGGCAGTTCGTGACGGGAGTATGGGTTGGATTTCACTCTGAGGGACGCGTACGTACGCTGAATGGTTAGAGTGTGGATCGCTTCTTGGCCTTTTGGCTAAGATCAAGCGCGGAGTGTGGAGTCCCAGGAACTAAGGGAGAAATTATTGGTAGTTTGCTGGACATCAGGATTAATAATATATTTGGTTGAACCACATAGAATTTCCACTTTTTGTAAGTCAAAAATGGTAAAATATAATCTATTTCATATAGTTCAATTTATCAGGTGAATATTACTCAAAACACATGAGTTTGAACATCATATTTTACATGAGGATCTCAAGGAAATCATATTGCCAAGAGGGGACTGATAATTTTATTTATTTATTTGTTTATTTATTTTTGAGACAGAGTTTTGCTCTGTTGCTCAGGCTGGAGTTCAGTGGTGTGACCTTGGCTCACTGCAACCTCTGCCTTTCTGGTTCCAGCGATTCTGCTGTCTCAGCCTCCTGAGTAGCTGGGATTTACAGGCATGCACCACCACACCCAGCTAATTTTTGTATTTGTAATAAATATGGGTTTTGCCATGTTGCCCAGGCTGGTCTTGAACTTCTAACTCAAGCAATCCACCTGCCTTGGCCTCCCAAAATGCTGGGGTTATAGGCGTGGGGCACGGTGCCCATATGGGAATGCTAATTTTAAAAAGGAAAGCCGAAACCTAACCATAGTCAAAGATCAAATGTGGAAGATACCAGAAACTGGAATCCTCACGGGACTTTTCTAGCTGCAGAACTGTACGTAAGTCCACCCTTCCCAAGCCCATTTCTTTGAACCATGACTTTGAGAGACACATCATTACTGAGTGGCAGGAGATCCTGGAGCCAAACTGAGTGGCACAGTTTTCTTTATTGCATGATTTGTCAGAGCCTGTAATATGCAAATGACCACAGCAAATCCCCAGATAAGAGATGCCTGTACACAGTATTTCCCAAGTGTACTCGACCCAAGCTTACTTTTCGTCTTATTCCCCACACTTTAACGTGCGTACACGTCATCTGGGGATCTTGTTAAGACGTAGATCCTGATTCATGGGTCAGGGAGTCTGTCTGCCTTTTTGCGTTTTTGTTTTTTCTTTGAGATAGGGTCTTGTTCTGTGGCCCAGCCTGGAGTGCAGTGGTGTGATCTTCAGCCTCGAACTCCTGGGCTCATGATCCTTCTGTCTTAGCCTTCCTGAGAAGCTGGGACTACAGGTGTGCACCAACATATCCCACCAAGTTTTGTTTTTAAATTCCTCTTTACTATGGTAGTTTTTATTTTTGCAGAGACAAGGTCTCACTATGTTGCTCAGGCTGGTCTTGACCCCTGGCCTCAAGGGATCCTTCCGCCTTAGCCTCTCTGAGTAGGGATTACAGGCCTCTCTCCGTTTCTTTCTTTTTTTATTTTTTTGAGAGAGTCTCTCTCTGTCACCCAGGCTTAGAGTGCAGTAGTGCAATCTCGGCTCACTGCCACCTCTGCCTCCTGGGTTCAATCGATTTTCCTGCCTCAGCCTCCTGAGTAGCTGGGATTACAGCTGCCTGCCACCACGCCTGGTTAATTTTTTGTGTGTTTTGGTAGAGGTGGAGTTTCGACATGTTGGCCAGGCTGGTCTTGAACTCCTGACTTCAGGTGATCCACTGGCCTCAGTCTCCCAAAGTGCAAGGATTATAGGCATGAACCACAGCTCCCAACCCCTTTCTCCTTTTCTAATTGGCACCCAGGTGATACCCTTGCTGCCAGTACATGGACCACACTTTGAGTAGCAGAGCTCTAGGGGGTTTGGCATCTCCCAGGGACCATTACCAGGCAGGAGGGTGGGTCTGGCTCTGAACATGGGAGTAAGGCAGGTCCCAGTGCTTAGAAAGAATCTAGTGCCTTGGCCTCACCTCCATAAACTCGGCGCTCGAGCCCACGTGCTGCCTGAAGCACAGAAGGAAGTTCTCTTCGGTTGGCAGGATCTGCGCCAGCTGTGAAAATACACTAACATTACAGAGGGACTTGCCAGGGAACAGAGCAGACTTTCCCCTAAGGAGGATGGAAAGGGCCAGTGGCGGGCAGGGTGGGAATTGCATTTTGCTTCCTTCCTTGAGAACGGGTGCTGGCAGCCCTTCAGAGGGAAAGAAGGGTGTTCAGAGAAGTGCTTTTGAGTTGTCCCAACCTTAGGGGATGAGCAACTGGAGGGGTACAATTGCTACTTCAAAAGGCAAGCACCCAGACTCAAAAGAATGCTTAACAGATGATTCCATGGATGTAAAATTCTGAAAACTTAGTAGATGGGTGGTTGCCTGGGGTAAGAGGGCCTGCACCAGGTTAGGGGAACCTTTTGGGGGGTAATAGGAAGGTTATATCTTCATTGGGGTGATGATTTCATGGCCTAAAATCTAAACCGAAGGAATTTTACACTTCAAATGGATGCAGTTATTGTATGTAAATTGATACTGCAACAATTTGATTTTTGAAAGATGCAGGTACCTCTTGCGGTAAGCACCGCTGGCTGCCCACCCAACCGGCCTTGCCCCCTCTTTAGCTCCTGGAACGCATGGGTCACAGGCCAATCCTGATGAGCCTACCTCGGTGAAGTGTGAGCCTCTCATTCTCTTTGCCAGAGATTGGCTTGCAGGTAGGCAAGTGACCCAGTTTTGACCAATGAAATGTGGGGAAAGGGCTGCAGTGGGTACTTCTGGGAATGTTTCCTTGCACTTCAGAGGGGCCCTTTCTGCAGCTGGACAGTGGTTGCATATGGACATATGTGGGTGCATGTAGTTGGATGTGGTTGTATGTGGGTTCATATGGTATGTGGATGTATGTGGGTATATGTGGTTTGTGTAGGTGTATGTGGTTGTATGTCAATGCATGTGGGTGTATATGGTGTGTGGGGGTGTATGTGGTTGCATGTGGATGTCTGTGGTTGTGTGTGGATGCATGTGGTTGGATGTGGATGCAATGTAGTTGGATGTGGTTATATGTGGGTGCATGTGATTGTGTGTGGATGTATGTGGTTTTGTGTGGGTGTATGTGGTTGTATGCTGATGCATGCGGGTATATGTGGGTGTGTGTGGTTGCATGTTGTTGTATGTGGATGTATTTGGATGTGTGTGGGTGCATGTGGTTGTATGTGAACATGTGTGGGCATATGTGGTTGTCTGTGGCTGTATGTGGGTACATGTAGTGGGATGTGGTTGTGTGTGGGTGCATGTGGTTTTATGTGGATGTATGTGGGTGTGTGTGGATGTATGGGTGTGTGTGGATGTATGTGGGTGTGTATGGGTATATGTGGTAGTATGTGGATATGTGTGGTTGCATGTGGATGTTTGTGGCTATATGTGGATATGTGTGGCTGTATGTAGATGTGGTTGTATGTGAATATATGTGGATATATGTGGCTGTATGTGGTTGTATGTGGATGTATGTGGTTGTATGTGGGTGTGTGGTATTGTTTGTGGGTGTGCGTGGTTGTATGTGGATGTGATGCCTGGTGCTGTGGCAGCCATCTTGCTAGTAGCCTGAGATGAAGGTGTTTTGAGGGCATAGAACAGAACCAAGAGAACTGCAGGGAGGCAGAGTGGGAGCCCTGGCCTCTACCTGAAGCCAACCCTTCCCCTGGCCTTTCTGTTAGGAGCCTCTCATGGTAAGCTATGGCCCTCAGGCCAAATGTGGCCCAGGAGTTGTTTGTAAAGTTTGATATTATGTGACCACACCCACTCATGGACATACCACCCATGGCTGCTTTTGTGCTACAGTGGCAGAGCTGAAAAGCTGTGGCAGAGACTGGATGGCCCACAAACCCTAACACACTTAGCTTAATCTGTATTTTTATAGAAAAAGTCTGCCAACCCTTGGTTTAAGCCCCCTTGAGTCAGCATGGGCATCTACAGTGGCCACTCTGGGTGCCTATCCCTGTTCCTCTGTAAATAGGCTGGTGACCATCTCTCAGCTACTATGACATCAGACTGCTAACAGCTCAGCCTTGCCCCTGGGTGTGAACTTCCCTCAGCCAGACCAGAGCTGCCCCACTGGGGAAGTTCCATGGGTCCCCTCCTTGTCCAATGAAGGGAAGCCTGCATCCAATGACTGGTTAACACAGGGTACAATAGACCAGCCCCCTTGCCTCAACGTGGGACCCACCCTGTGACACAGTCTGCATTCCAAAGTCTCCTTGAGCCTAGCCAAGGTGAGGTTCCAGCTGAGCCTGCATCCTTGCATTGCACTGTCCCCTGCCCTTTCCTGCTGCCTTCTCTAGAGAGTTCTCCCTAAATAAGTCACTTCCACTCAAATCTCTGTCTCAAGCATCCAACCTAAGGCAGCATCCCAACGATGTACCTGGGTGGAGCTCTGCCCTAATTCATGTGCCACCATCATCATTCTTTTTTATTTATTTATATGTTTTGTAAAGATGAGGTCTTGGTATATTGCCTAGGCTGGTCTTAAACTCCTGGCCTCAAGGGTCCTCTGCCTTGGCCTACCAAAGTGCTGGGATTACAGACATGAGCCACTGAGTCCGGCCAGCATTCTCGAGCCCTTGACTGTGGTCACTGATTGCCAGAGGTGTTTGACATGCACCTACATATGAGTATGTGTGAGTGTGTGTGTGTATGTGTATATATGTGTGCACATATGAATGGATATATGGATATGTATAAATTATGTTATATTTAAATTATATATGTTTATATATGTAAATTGCCAATGAGAACTATAAATGTATAGATTATATTTGTGTAAATTATGTACATAACTTTAAAACATTATGCCTTCAGATGCTTTTAGGTGGGGCACGGAGTCTCCTGTTCACTTGTCTTCAGCCTCCCTACTGTCTTCAGCTGGGCTCACCACTTGGTTACAATACCTGTTGGCCCCTGTGGGTGTTTAAGGTCTCCACCCCATCTTAGGTCATTGCTGGGTGACACACAAGAAAAGCCCCAGCTGTTCTCTTTGGTCAGCACAGGCGCTGGGGTAGCGGGAGCTCTGAGGCGCCCCCCTCACTCCAGTCCTTAGCAGGATGCTCATGCCTGGAAAGGCACAGGGGACCCAGGGCCCCTCCCACACCGCTCTTCACCAGCAAGACAGGGCTCACCTCTGCCATCTCGATTTTCCCATCCGAGTTCTTATCATACTTCTGCATGAACTCCTTCATCTTTTCTCCAAAGTTGTCACTCTTTGACATCTGCGGAAAGACAAAGGGGGCTGATTTTTGCTGCTGTGGCTCATGTGAATCACGATCTCAGAGCAGGAAGCTTGGAAATCGTTTTGCATCCTGGATAAGGGCTTGCAGAAGCAGGTTATGCTGCTGCTCTGATTGATCGAGGCTGTGTTGTTTTCCTTTGCAGATTCCCTCCAAACCAAGTCATCTCTTTTTCAAGGTTCAGTCATATCAATTTCAAAGGACAAGTGGCCATGTTCCATACCACATAATCAAATGGGCCCTGCTGTCTTTGAGATGGATTAAGCTACAACTCTATAGGAAGGGCTTAGACTTGTTCCCTTCACTCAGATGTGAGAACTAAGGCCTCAACATTTTACTAAAGCAGCGTGTGAGCAAACTGAACTTAATTCAGTGCCCCCTCATAGGTTCTAAGCACTTCATCATAGCAAGATGGATTGCTCATTTTCTTCTTTAAAGACTAACTGGCAATTCTACAATATTTTCACTCCTGATTTTCATGCCAGAAGGAACATGAGGAGGAAGTCATCATGTAGCTGAAGGGTAATTTAAATAGTCCACCCAATTATTCTGACTACCAGAAAGCAAAGAACTTAAAACCTTCTTTCCAGCCCATGGCTGCCTATCTTAAATATAGCCTTGAAGCTCTCCAGCTTTCCCCTGATTTGAGATAATGCTGATTAATTGCTTGCCTTAAGGAGCTCTTCCTTCTCCCTGGTCAATGATGAGCCCACCTTGCATGGCTGATGCCTCTGCGTCACTCAGCTGATTACTTCCATATGAGTTTTGTGCTCCCCAGGATTGGGCCAAGGGAAATCCTACCACTTCAGAGAGTCTCCTGAATCCATCTGATCGCTTTTTACTTTTGGAAATGGTATCAATTTGCCAATATTTATTTGTTTATCAATATTTATTTACAAAGGTAGATAGTCTGATCCCAGGCACTTGTCACAAGTGTGGCCATCCTATTTAGGTTTTACAGTAAAAGCCCCTGTGACGTTAGCAGCCCTTCCATTTTACACATGAATGGAGGCCAAGATGAATTCTCTAGAGGTCACCCAGTGAGTATAGCCAGAATTTGAACTCATGGCTTTTGCTTCCTAGGCCAATATTCTTTCTACCATATAACAGCTGCTCTGAGAACTGGTCATGGATGACATCAGTTGGGATTGTTGATAGACTTGAAAATTACCCCAATGACATCTGAGGAAGGGAATGACTAAGAAAAGGATTTTAGATGCAAAGCACTTTGTGAAAACACATTTCTCTGCCTCACCCATGATCCCAGAATCAGTTCTGAAGCCCATGCCTTCTGTGATCCAGGCCTCATTATCCTAGGAGCTGATGGGAGAACTGTTGATAAACAAACCCATGAATCAGCTCCAGCCCTTTAAGCCCTTCACTTTGACCTCCTTCTCATTGGGGCGCTCTGCCGAGCTTTAAACAGGGAGCTCACCGGAGGATTTATGACTCATCTCCTAAACTGCTCCCCAAAGCGCTGCAAATAAACAGTGGATTGGCTAACAGACACGCAGCAGGGGATAGTAGAGACACCTCCAGAGGGCCCGAGGGAGCTGATGGGAGGCTGTGGGGCTGACTCCATGTACTCCAGAACCAGCCATGGGAACCACAGCAGACTAGTTCCATCACCTGGGCTTTGCAATATTTCTAATACCTCCCCTAAGAGGCTTTAGCAAACTCAGTAGTGCTATGTTAGCACCAGAGAAAGCAACAATCCTGTCCCTACAGGGCTGAGATGTGATCTGGAGTCACTTTGGGGAAGTTCAGAAGGTCTTGATTCCACCACGAATGAAGCCAGCCAGTGCCATCTGGTTCAGACACTGGCTTAGAGCCATCCTCAATTTTCCTCTATTTCTTGCTGGGGATTCTAGCCCACGTTGCTCTAGAGCAGTGATTCTCCCACCAAGGGGATATTTGGCAATGTTTGGAGACATTTCCAATTGTCACAGCTTGAAGGATAATAGCGGCATCTCACAAGTAGACCCAGGAAAGCTGCTGAACTCCTACAATGCACAGGGCAGCCCTACAACAAATTATTCTACCTCAAATGCCAACAGTGCAGAGGCTGAGAAACTCTGGTTTAGAATCAGGGCACTTGAAACCTCCTAGGCATCCAGTCTGGAGTCATGACCCTTCAGCATCTTTGCTTAGGGTACAGAAGCTATGGACTCTGTCCCTAGGGAAAAAGTAGTATATATATTAATACATGCATCTGCAGACAAAGCTTTGCGGTTTTGCAGGAGGGTTCATCAACCCCTGGTGTCCATTCATGAATCTCCCTCAATTCCAGACACCCAGGGATACTGAGATAACATACTCTTAGGGAATAGTCTATTTTTTACCCTTACAAATAAAATGCTGTGTCATGACCAGAGATATGAGGCCTGCTTATGGGATACCTAACTGGGACAGAGCATGCTCAAAGGCATAGGTCAGGAAAATCCCAAACAATGGGAGACGGGGCTGGGCTTACCATGCCAGAGCCTTTTCTTGCCTTCTCCAGCTCTTGGAAAAAGTTTTCTAACTCTTTACCTTCAATATACCCATTTCCTGTAAAGAGAGACAGAAAAAAAATTAATCTCAGTGCTAAATAGTAAGGGGGGCATGGGTTGGGCATGTCGGGGGCTTCATGGAGAATGTCTTCTCCCAGCTGGTCCACAAGCTGGTCTAGGCCAGTGGAGCTAGGGATGTGGGTCCAGCCCTCAGGGCATTTGCACCTAGAGATCCAAGGTGAACATCGTACATTCAGCAGCTAGAAAATGCTGGGAGGAACTTGCACAAAGTCTGAGAGGACAGAGGAGTGCAGAAGCTGGCAGCTTCCATATCTGCCCTTCATGCATGGGCAAGCACTATGACTGAGGTGTGACAGGAGACAAGGCGTCAGCATCGGGGGTCATTGGCAAGTGACGGGCCCTGGTCAGGGGTAGAACTGGGGTCCCTGGGGTTCAGAAGGTGTGGTGGGTTAGAGTGGTGCCCCCAGAATGGGACCTTATTTGGAAACAAGGTCACTGCAGATACCGTTAGTTCAGATGAGTCATACTGGATTGGGGTGGGCCCTAAATCCAGTGGCTGGTGTCCTTATAAGAAGGCCTCGTGGAGACACAGAGACCCAGGAAGAAGACCATGTCTTCATGGAGGCAGAGGCCAGTGTGGTATGTGTACAAGCCAAAGAGCACCATGGGCTGCCAGCAACCACTAGAAGCCAGGAGGGAGGCAGGGAGCAGATTTGCCCCTGGAGCTCGAGCAGAGCCTGCCGACACCTTGATTTCACACTTCCAGCCTCTGGAAATGTGAGAGACTACATTTCTGTTGTGTTAAGTCACCCCGTTTGCGGTGCCTTGTCATGACAGTCCTAGGAAACAAAAACAGAAGGGCCCAGAAAAAAGAGAACCACGGGGCATCTGTCCTATGGGACGCCACCCCCCACCCCCTGCCCCATCTGAGACTTGGTCACAGGGATCAAGAGTAGGAGAGGCATCCCAGCTGGTAAGGAAGAGAGGAGGCTCTGAGGCCTGTGAGTGCAGATTTAAAGTTGGTCCTGCTGTACGTACCAACAGTGTGACTTTGAGACAGTTATTTAACCCATCTCATCTGCAGAGTAGGTTGTTATATCAAACAGGATTTTGTATGGAAAGCCCACCCTCTAGTCATTGTGAGTGCAGCGTAAATACTATTATTGAGTTCCATTGCCAGAACCTGTGTCTAAGGTGGGAATGAATCTGTGGGGAAAGTGCAGCGATCAGAACCAGGTCCCGAGGTCAGAGCCTGACTTGCAAGTTCACATAAGTAGTGAGGTCCTTTAGGCTCTCACATCTTGAGCCTGGATGGTCTAGAGAACAGGACCAAGCTGAGTGCATGGTCACGGTCACTGGTCAGTGCTGTGATGGGGAAGGAGGCATTTGTGGGTGTGAAATCTGAAAAGGCTCAGGCCATGCCTCCTAGACTTTGCTGCAGCAAAGAATCTCCTGGGGATTTTTCCTTTTCTTGAG